TGAATAAGTTCCAACAAGATCACGAAACTTCGATGTCTTGAAAATTTGAACATCTCAAAAAAAAACCATCTGTTTTGGCTAAAACTTAGATAGCATCTTAAAGATTATCAGACCTGCCTATAGACAAAATATCATCTGGATATTGCTTTCTTTTGTCGAGTAAACTTTTGGAATGTCTGTTAAATGATATTTTAATGATATGACGAAACTGACATTTTTCCAGTCATGAAGATGTTTCTTTTTCTATTTCCATCCTGGGCGCATATTTGAAAATCAGTCAACGTAGCACACTGTTGACACTATTCCAAGGTTGATCGATCCAAAACTGAGGCAAGAAAAAGAAAAATACGAATTGTCTCTATTCGGGAGAATTCTTTGAAAACTTCAGCCCAATTGAATGTAAAGAAGAGATAATGAGTTGCTGAGGTATACCAGAGACTTAAGATGCAAAATATGGAGCGTTCCGAAAATTCAACTGAACGTTTTAGGGAAATAATCCTCAATAAAATCACTTGTATGGCAAATAGCTGATAAATATCAAGACTTATATTGTTCTCTATCTTCTAGGCGTCCTTCTCCATCAACTGATTAACCCTTTGCGGACGGAATTATTTTTTCAATTGAAAACTGCCTCTTCAATCAATTTATTGTATTAGGCTTAGGATAGTTACATAAAAACCTGATGATAATACATCAAGAAAAGAGAGGGTGATGGCATGAAGTTAGTGTATTGTAGTAGAAAGAAAGGAGAACATCTGAAAAGGATCTATACGACAGAAAGAAAGAGAAAAAGTATATGCATAAGATGGCAGATGGGATGACCTATTACTTTTTACAGATTATAATACTTCAATGGAGAGCAAACATCTTCTCTAATGGAAAATAGGTGGAACAACGTATGTTCCATCGTCCTCAAAGGGTTAAGCTGATTTTTCTCTAGATTCGACAATTTCATTTGAAGAACTCAATAATTTTTAGATAATTACAACAGAAAAGCTCATCCAGACAAAAAATGAAAGAACATTTGCTCAAATACACTAGAAAAGTTAGACAATGAAATGATTTTACACTCAAACTGAAATATAAGTTCAGACTGAGAAAAAAATTGATCATCCGTCTGATACTCTGCTATTTTACATATATGCAATAGATGAGTTGAGAGTATCGTTAGATGTGGTAGCGTATGATAAAAACTATTCTTCTTTTGCTTACTTCAGCTGTTGAGAAGAGATAGAAAGAAGAAAAAACACTTCTTTTACGACAACGAATGTAAGTCTAGATAAGACAGAGAGACTGTCATATACTAATCGTCATTTTGCAATGGACATAGGTTTAATGTCAATCCGAACACACCATTTTTTCTTGTCAAGAAATGCAATGAAGTGTTATGGAGATAAGAGATAGGCGAATGTATGATGCCGTTTGCCTTGGGTAGGAGAGACGTTTGTTTCTCTTTCAACTAGATTTTCTCTATGTGACAAAAGAAAAGAGCACAGCTTCAAACTACCAACAGCTCGTTCTATTCGACTACGACGATGAAGACACAAGTTTGTTCGACGACGAAACAGCTCTTAGCCAATTATCATCCAACTATAAATGCTATTTATTTTGGAACAACCATGATAGGAATTTAACAGAAAACTGTCAATATCTGAAAAATTACTCCAGTCAATTATTTGCTGTTCAGCTTATCTAGAAAACTAGAAGAATCCAGCAAATAAGAAAATTCATTTATTTTCTGAAAAAACTCATCGATAATTATTCAGCATGAGATAGCCTTCGTCATCCAATTCATTGTTTAAAATAGGAAATACTATCTAATTAGTATTAAAAGAGTGGTACCGAACGTTTTATTTACAAATCGGACCATACCTAGGTTGAGGCAAACGTAGGTTGCATGCGTTCTGCATTCAAGCTATGAATGCGTTCGGAATGTGTTCTTCATGACGTTTAATATCACCACGAGTACTGATTTCAATCGATCTCTATAGTACATGATTCAATTTCTTCTATTCTCTTCTCTTTTCTTTCACTTACTATTAGAGTGAGAACATAGTTTTTACAATTTTCTGAAGTATAAAATCACGCAAAAACATAAAACACCTTCAGATGAGAAAATGGAAATATCAAAGAAGGAGTTCACAATTAACATTTGTTTTAATAATGTTACATTGCTCAGTTATAACCGACAAAAAAAAATAAATTCCAGAAATAAAAAAAAAAATACTCATTCGAAAATCAATATTTTTTCAACATCTTTCATTGTTTATATTGTTGTTGTTTTTAAAAAAAAGATTTATTCAAAGATAAATCGAAATTCTTTCTACTTGCTTCATATTCATCTTGTGACACAATAATCGTCCTATCTTGTTTTTATCATCATTATGTGAATATGAATTGAATACACTTCTTGGTTAACATTGGCTAGAGTAGAAACGAAAAATTTTTTCAAAATTTTAAAAGATATTAGAAGAATTTACATGCATTTGTAATTATTTTTTCATAACTCGAACAAAAGATTTTTCAAAAATGCGCTGTCGATATCTAGAGTTCTATTTTTTTAGAGAACTATCTAAATAGTAATAATTTCAACAACATATTATTAAATATGAATTAGAAATTTATCTTCAGATAGACATGAAACGGGTAAATACGAAAATCATTGGTACTATCTATAATAATATGGATAGGCTTATGCTTAAATACATCTGAAGGGAGAATTTATATAATATATATATATATATATATATGTATATAATTTGCATTGGAATGATCATTTAATCGACTAAGAATAAAGGAGATACATTTCTAAACCAAATACTGATGAAAAATTATTTTACATCATGCCTTTTTTCAGGAGATGCTTTATTTATAAAAAAAGGCTCAAATTTAGTCGCTTTCTAGTTTCTTCCATTTTTCAATTCTTTGTCAACCATAACCTCTAAAAAGAAGTCAAGAACGTGATGAATGTGTTTGGTGCGAACATTCTCTGTCGAATACGTTTTGCTTTATCTTTATTCGTTATCTCAAGACAGTTCAAGTTTCCGACATCCAAAATGACGGTCATGTCGTTCTTGCGAATATTCAGCTCACATATCTCATTATCGAACACATGATGCCTGAGAATACGATCAGAGACAATAGATTTACGAAGGAACGAGTTTTCTCGAATGTTATAGTGCGAAATAATATATTCAATATAAAAAAAGCCTTCCAGTTATGCAATCTGATGAAAGTTTTGTGCCGCAGAACTGATTATGATATTGAATGTGATCACAGTGCAATCATGATATAATCAGTGTTCGGTTAAGGAATACAGAGAGATATAAAGTGAGAGAATTAAACTATCCTCTAAGCCTTCTCTAAAGGCTATGACAAACATGACAGTATACTATTTTAGATTTCTAAAGCCAGACATTCCAGATTTAAGATTAATTGTTGAATTATGTATGAATGGGTTTCACATTCAGCAGTTTGAAACATTCGTTTTTTCTAACAATATGACCTCGTAATCTCTGCCAAAGATTAGGATGAATATAGAGTTTTCATGTACGATTAAAGTAGTCTGATTGTGTTGTAATTTTCAATCACATAAGTAATGTCCTGAAAGCTTTTATCGAAACATCAAGAAGAATAAAAATCTTGTGGAGCTTTGGAAACAGCAGTATAAGGATGGGGTGTGGGTGTGGGCCTTGTTTTCACCAGCACCAACAGCCATACTCCACCCACACCCCATCTTCTTTTGGTACTTAAAGAAACTTTCTATCTGTCGAGGAAGTAGGAAAAAAATGCATCAACATTTTGTCTAGTTTATTATGGCACACCCGTTATATGATATAAAAAAATTGAATTTGTGATTAAAATAAATTGTAAAAGAGTTTTATATTTTCATTGTTCATGGTAATTGTAATGATGACCACACATGCAGTTACGATAAGCTGTCTGATCCGATTTATTATCTTGCAAAGGAAGTGTACCTAACGTGGCACTGGCTGTCGATCCACCTGTACTCGGTACATTTGCCGAGAAGTTACCACCAGAAGTAGCTTTTTGAAAAGCCGATACCGGATTCCAAACAAACGATTCACAACCACATTTGCGACACGACATAATTGTTGATAGCAAAAATGAGAATAGTGTTAGACTCAAACACTTTTATATACACCTATCAAGTATGATTGTCACTGATAAGAGTTGACTCATATATGTTGAGAAAAATGAGTAAACACCTCTTACTTATCATTCATAGAGTGACACTTGGTAATTTTTTAATGTTTTTTTGGTCACACTATCAAATATTTGCTTATATGGAAAGAATTGATATTATTTTACGATCTCCCTAATTACACATGATTAGAAAAAGAAAATAATGCCTATTTTATTATTTGTCTGGTCTTTAAAAAACATAAAAAGTTGGAATTTTCCAGGCGAAATCCTAACATGTTCTATGGTGCGAAGGTCTGGGTGTGGGTGTGTGTAAGTATCTTATCCGAATATTATCATACCCACACCCACACTCATACCAGCTGTTGTTTCTCCACTAATACCATATATCAAACTTGTTAAATCTGGTAATCAAACAATATCTCAAAAGATACAACAAGTTTTACTCTACAAAACTGTATACTTGGATTTTCTCCAATTGCTTGCTGAATATTACTTTTACAGATCAATATCCATGTACACTAGAAAAAAACTGTGTACTAATTTTGAAAAATTTTTACCATCTTTTGAGAAAAAGATATTGAAAAACATGCGGGCCGACAATGTGGGTATAGTGTGAGTGTGAGTGTTATTGAGGACAAGATCTACACCCACATTCACACCCTTAAGTGTATAAATAACGCCTTTTTGTCGAAAAAGTTTGTTGACTACATAAAAAACGGGTTTATTGATTTGTTTTGTATTATGATATGCTCGTACTTTCTAATCCTCTATTATATGTAACAGTAGAAGCTTACAAAACTGATTCACAATTACAGATGGCATTCTTCTCATAAATCTTTTGCGATTCATTTTTTCATAGTCATTTTCTTTATATAAATTGAAATAACCAAATAGAATCTTATACATAAAATAACGACTGTAAGTCGAACACATATTTAAAACTTATTTAATGTCAATATTGTTGCAACCAAACAAAATAATTGACCGAGCACTTGGCATGGCATTTGGCACTGCTGTTGGAGATGCCATGGGGATTCCATTCGAAAATCTTATTCCAGAACAAATCGCCGAAATTCAGATGTCACTCAACAAAAATGAATCATTGTTTATCAATGCTGCTGGTCGCAATCCGTACATTCCTAAAGAATGGCCAACAGGTCGATGGGGAGATGCAACACAGCTCTCTCTCGCTATTATGCATGCAATTGCGAAACATCTTTGTGATGATGCTGAAAAGACACCATTGATCACAAGTATTGTCGATGAACATGTACTAGAATGGTGGGATTGCACAGATGGTTGGAGTACTGGAACCAAAAATGCGATAGAAAGAATTGCTCAAGGATCCTATTCATATTGTAACAGTGGTGGCTCATCGACTGGAAATGGTGTTATCATGAAGTTGACACCACTCGCCTTCTTTTTCCATGTTTGTGACATCAATATTGATGATAAATTAGTCGAAACAATCTGTCGAATGACACACGTCAGTCCAGTTACAATTGTTACTGCACTCATCTACGTTTATCTATGTGTATTTATTTTCAAACATGATTTGCCATCATCTGATGTAGAAAGAAAGGCCTTTCTGCTATATGTTCGTCAACTTTCTGTTCAATATGAATGCAAGTACAACCTTGTTACCGAAAAAGATCTGTTGAGTATTCGAATTCATCGCTTCCTGGAAAATTTTCATGAGATAAACAATGACCTTTTGTTAGATGTGAGTCATGGTGGAACATTCTTCTGTGTGGATACATTGTCGATGGTTATTGGTCTTGTTGCGGCAGAACGAGTGACATTCGAAACACTTGAAAAAGCAATACAGATGGGTGGTGATACAAATATTATTGCGGCTATGATTGGTGCGCTTTTAGGTGCTACACAAGGTCAACAGGCCATCGACAAACGTCGTGCTGAAATTGTCTTTCGATCTGACTATATTCGACAGATTGGAGAGGAGTTTGGACAGGCTCTAGTACATCATCTTAATCTTCTTCCATCTTGCTCGCAGACTATGTAATCAAAAATTGTCAAAAAATAAAATATTGAGCTAGAAAAACCGCAACAATATCTCGATTTTTCAACTATTACTATCAATATAAGGTACTGCCAACGAGAGTTCCTCTGGCTCGATATTTTCCTTGCAGTCGATCAACTTTAGAAAAGCTCACTATTCATACTAGTCATCTGCGATGACTCGGAACAGAATGCTATCCGATTGTTGAAAACAACTAAACATGAAGTAAAAGTGCAAGTTTTATTTTACTGAATAAATAAATCTACAATTTAAAAAATAAAATTTCTGTTATTTTCATTCTCTTATACTTCAATCTGGCCTTCTCTCTAAATAATCTCTTCTTGGCTAATTTTTTTACTGACCTGTGTGTGGAGATATGGGTGTGAATGGAAGTGTTTTTCTTCTCTTTGCTGTTACATTCAACCACACCCACTCACACCCTGAGTACATTTTTACTTTAATTACACTTATCAGATAGCACCCTCATCCTCCCGCAATGTTATATGCATAAATGATAACAATCAGTGTAGAGTGTGATTAAAGTAAAAATGTGCCCATCGATTATATATCATCTAGTCCTATGGTCTTAACACCACTTCGAAATATTATTTTAGAAAGTGATTAAACTGAAATAAAAATTTGTTCAATCAAGTCTTTTTTAGTTCTACTCGAATATCAATGTTTGAATCGTCAATCTAAATCGAAATAAGTATTAAGATTGTTAAATAATTCTTACGGTAAGATAATTGGTTTCTTAATGAGTGTATTTCATTTAAGAAAATGGATATACACTATAGTATAATAATAAGGTTTTTGGTGATAATTGTTGTGTTCTATCGAAACTACGAAAAATATGATCAAAACCAAGAGAGAAGAATATAATACTGTCTTTAAAAATAGAATAGTATATATTTAAGTTGAGAAGGGCAAGATATAAGATGGAGTGGTGTAGTTAAGCACATGGTATGACTATATTAACACGTATAAATGTGGTTCTTTCACTTTCTTTTTTTTTCTTTCAGAAAGAGAAAGAAAATAATACTTTTTTTGAAAGTCACTGGTTGAATAAAAAACGTTTTCACATTTTTCAAAGACATAGTAATTATATAAGACATCATAAAAAAAATTGTATTATCTCAAAAATTTCTAATTCAAAATGTTGACTACAAAATCATTGTCTACAACATTGAATCGAAACATTGGATGTATACTTGGTATGTGTGTGTGTTCGAGAACCCATCTGCCGCAATGCCTTTCAACTCCGCTACGAGTCTCATCAGATGGCTTTAAATTCTACATAATTATTTCGAATTGAAAATTTCTATGATGATTTCGACTTTCGATTCCTTTTTGAAACGAGTAAGAAAACCTAGACAAGTGAATTTCTATCATTATGATTGTTTATAGTCGGGGCAGTCTTTGAAAAAGAAAGAGAAATAAATACGCTTTTGACATAAATGTTGAAATATTTTTGTTTTTTTTTTATTTTACCATGTCCAGAAATACTGGGTATGAGTTGTGTGTGTAGATGTAGATGTCAGGCTGAGTGACTGTAAAAAATATGTGCTTTATCTGCATCTACACTTATAGAATTATGCTCTTGTAACTAATAATTCAGTGATGTCATCAAGATAGACATTTTTACTGGCATGCTGTTATAATGATAACAATAGTAAAAGATAAAGACTATTTTATTGTCGAGTTCACAGATGTCTCTTGTGGAATCTTCTATTACTAAACATAAAAAGAAATGTATCGATCAGATTTCTGTAGTGCATTAAAATACAAATCACACCATTTGTGGGATGAAAGAATAAGAAATAGAAAAAATCCAATTATTAATTACAATGCAAACAACGAACGTTTGGTAAATCCACAGAACAACCAAGTTTTATATTATAAAAAGAATATTTATTTACTCTTATTTTCTACCATTAAGAATCCATTAAGTAGAAAATATTCGACATTTGTCATTTTCTTCTATACATTTAACATTATTGAAACATGAATGAACTCGATGTATGCTAGTTAGATTACCAATACGGCCATCCCTAGTCAACATTTCTCTGATATAACAATCAAATCGAGACAAATGATGTAGTCGATTGATCAGATTTTGTGCTAAATGAATAAATGGTGTACTATATACGGTTTGTAGATACAAATATTCAACGTTGGGTGTATAAGCAAGAAATCTGTCAATATCATTAAAATATAGTTCCGTATAATTACTCCAAACAATAAGTCGTCGAAGTGGATGATTTTGTGGTGTAGACAATGTGAATATATTGTTATCGCCACAGAAAATATGAATTTGCAGATGATGAAGATTGGGGCATGAAGTCAGAATTGCTAGAATAGACATTGATTTACAAGAAAAGATTGACACAAACTGGAGAGAAGGTGATGTAGTCCATGAATGGCAAGTAGAATAATCGATACGACCCAAATGAACATGACGAAGAGATGGAAATTTATTAGAGAACACATCACAAATTAATTGCTGGGGAGGAATGAATTTCAATCCTAATAACAAAGATAGTTGAGTCAGATTGGGAATGATTTCAGGCTTAATTTGCAATAGATGTTTCGGATTGCTATCACATAATATCAATGTATGTAAATAAGGACATTGACTAAAATCACAATTATTGGAGGTCTGCATTATTAATCGATTAACATAAGGTGAATAGGATTTCATCAACAATGGATCAGTTTTTTCATTGAAAGTTAAACAGAGATTTTTACAGGATCGAATCGTATCGTTCAGCTGTGAATTGAGTCCACAGAAAGCGCTATATAAATGTTGAATATCGATGAAAGTAAATAAATAGAAAAATAATTGGTTTGGAAGCTGTTCTAATGTTGTACATGAATCTAAATTGAAAATGATTTTTTTTTTCAGAACGTAGCGCTCATCATAATAGAAGTGTTTGGTGGTGATATTATCAAAGTATTTAAGTACTAGAATGTAGAACACTATTTTAATAATGATATTAGACTTTATCTCCATTTAAAAGTAGATTTTATGGCGATAAAAATGAGTGAAGTTCATTACTTGAAGATATTTTCATCGCTTCTTATTCAAAAGTTTTAGTTTTCTGCTGAAAATGGCACGTAGTTATAACTTACGGTCTTGAATATGTTTGATATTATGTGTGTGCTGTCCCACATTGGTATCATTATTTATATTCTGAATAGCAGTTTTGGATTGTATTGCATCTGTTTCCAGTTTCTACAATAAAACATGAACTTTTCATTAGAATACTTGTTTTGCGAACGTTCATTATATTAAGTATGACTTCAATTTTTATTCTTTTCTATAGAGTCATTGGGAAATAAGCAACTCATTCATATAAGATATACCTGAGATGATTTTTGTAAAGATATACAGTTGTTATTAGCAAAATCATGACTAGTCTTTGTCTTTGCATCCAAAATGTATCGCTTTTTTCTAATCAATAAACTGGCCGCTGTATGGAAAACGTTTCCGATCACTGATTTAATCGAATGTGGTGTCAACTTTTCACAATCATCATGTGAACCTGCAACGAAATAAAATTGCTTTTAAATAATATTTAGCCACAATGATTATAAACCTTTGAAAATAATTTGTCCTTTTTGATAGTGTCCAGCTGTTTCGATAAAGCAGACATCATTTACATGAGTAAATTCATGTGATTTGAAAATCGCTGACTGAGGTACTATAGATACAGTGCAACTATTTTCCCATTGTACAGCAGAAAAACTGTGATGATCGATAGAAACTTGTTTTGCATTTGTATTCGAGTCCAACGCTAAAATTATATCGATAATTGAAATAATAATCAAATAACAAGAGACATTAAAATGCATGTTAGTTACTTGACGTAGCATATGCAGGTTTCAAATGATGGACAGTTCGAAGATGACTATGCAAAAGTTTTCCAGTAGATCTGTAATGAATATATGTAGCTGGACTACAGACAAGCATTTGAACTGGAAGATGTTGGTCAGTACTGAAACGGCTTCGTAGGTCATGTGATGTATCGTTTTCAATATTAACACCGTTTAGTTCGATGATTCGATCAAAATTTTTGATGCCTGCTCGGTAGGCCAGACTCGATTCCCAATTATCATAGAACTCGATATAATGAAAACGTTCTTTTCGATGGTAATGTGCACAAAAGCCTAATTTCTGTTGTGGAACTGCACGTTGCATAGTACATAATCGAATGTCATCTTTCTCATAAATCAAACTAATGTTTTCATCAATAGATGCTGGATCTATAATATATATCATAAAAAATAAAAATAAATTTATCGTCATACAAAAAAATAATGATATTCTCTTAGCAAAGAGACTCGGCAGAAAAAGAATCCTAACAGATTTGCTGATGTTGAATCTATAAATTGGCTGACTTTGATGTATAATTCTTATTTAACAGATTTTTTAAACTTGTTCTAAATCAATTGTAAAGGTTTTCATGATGTTATCTAGTTGTATAGAATAGCCGATTTGTCATGCTCATTTTATATTGCATTTTTCATACGATGTCCAAGATTTATACGATAGTGGAACTATATTGGTAATTAACGCAATAGTTTTCTTCAAAAAAGCAACCTTCTATGCAATACGACTAATTATGTTTTCTCATGGAAGATTATATTTAATTGAAATCTTTAAAGATGATCCTTTGTTTTCGAAGTTTCTTAAGAACACCGAGGCAAAACTGTTCGAGATGTAACATTTCGAAATGTTTTCCTTTCAGAGAAATAAGAGACACAAGACTAAAAACTGATTTCAAGCTACGTAACCTACTGTAAAAATCTAGCGTATCCTTTTTAGTACTGGAACTTTTCTATGACAACGAGATCATAATCTGACTATATATTGCTTTTCTTTTCCGGATGGTGATGATATTGTAAATTTGACTGAACTTCAGAATAAGTATCTTTTCAATAGAGAACATATTCATTGAGATTCAATTAAAGAAATCAATGAAACTGTTTAAATTGAAATAGGACATAAATTTTCATACAATGAAATCGAGCTCTAGTTGGAAGTTCCAACAGAACAGTTCGGATTTAGTCCAAACGTTTGTTTTTGAGAACTGAATGATGATTTCAAGCAGTTTTTGAATTATATCGACGATTATAGAAGCACTCTTCATTTCGAGCAAGTTTAAGTTCGAGTTTAGATATTCTTGAACAACATTAAATTATTTTCGAATGTTTTCTAGCCTTAAGTTGCTCGTTGATTTATTTCATCATGCGTGAACTTATTGTAAATCAACAGGGACAGTCTTCCTTTTTTGTTTAGTTCTGCGCTCTTTAGTTTTATCAATAAATTGAAGAAGACTGCATTCAGGACCGAACACGAACTTGAATGCAAAATTCGAGTTTAGCATGTGTCCAGTCATCAAGTATAAGAAACAAAAAAATGAAGAATGATATTTTTATTTACCATAATGCTCTTCAATCCATGTTTGAATTATTTTGGGTGGATCGAAGCCCCATCCAAACATTTGTTCAATTTTACCTCCATTATCAAGATATTCGATCAACCGGCCAAATTCTAAAACATTGATATTTGTACTTGCATGCTGAGCTTCTAAATCATTGAGTTTGTTAGCAGGCACAAGAACATAACGCCATACTGGTCTGCCTTTTTCTATGCCACGAAAGACGTACACCAACTCGCCCAACTCTTGTTCTGTTACAATCGCTTTAGGTCTATCTTCATAGCTTATGAGTAAGTTCTAAAAAAATAAAATATAAATTAATTAAGATCTTTGATTTATTCACGAAAAAAATCAAATGTTTTCTTTTCTTGTGTATTTTATCTCAATTAAATGACAATGCATTGTATTATTTTGATTTTTTTTTTAAATTTATTTCGTACTTTAATAAAATCTATAAGAAGCACATGAATATTCAAGAATTATCTATTGATTAAGTTTTGATTTGATCTAATTTTTTTCGATAAATTTTTCCTAAAACAGAATCTTACCTGTAATTTTTCGTAAAATTTCGTCATCAAATAATATACAAGGTATTTACGTCTAAAACAATCAAGATGACAAAAATTAAAGCAATGATTCTTCGATGAATTTTATTGTATATCACTACTGACAAGCAAATAACCTTGACTCGGTCATAATTTTTTTTCTACCTGTTTTGGCGATAAATGATAAAAAATAATCATTTACTTATAATAATCAGCGAAATTCAGAGTTTTATCGTGTAGGATTACTCCGTTAACAAGGATAATTTCTTGTGAAATTCATATGATGAAAAAAAAAACCGTTAAGAATTCAGGTGAAAAACAAAATAGACCTATGTAAATGTTTTGTTAATGGTATGCGGACTCTATGAAGCACAGCAGCGCACAAGGATATTCTTCATTCGATCATAAAAATGTGTTTCTTTTTCCAATGAGAAAGAAAAAGAAAAAAAATTAATCAGAACAAATATTGAAAACGTATTTTATTGGGTGATTCACTTCGCATACAATATATTTTAATGTTTTTTAATCATTTTAAATTCAGTCCATGAGGCGAAATTCTCTGTCTTTTGTTAGGAGAAGTTGCGTGCCACTATTAATCAAGATCAATCCAAACCTTTTATTCCATTTGAAGGAGAAGACTAGTAAATTTTGATTCTTAAAGATCAAGTTTATTAACACTAGAAAAGTTAGCAGTTGTGGTTACAATACAAAACTTAGACTTTTTGCGATGCTAAAAGTAATGTGCAGCGTTTTTTTCGACATCTATTCAAATTTCAACCTTTATTACGAGTATGGGTGTGGGTATAAACCTCCCCTAAAATAAAAAGACATGGTCTTCTATTACGCTCCAGTGAATCGCCCTTTTTTTGGTGGCTTTATATTGTGGGTGACCTTCTATTATGAGTTTTTCGGAAAATTCCTTCTATAGCTATGCTCATTTTGTTGGTATCTTTTTCTACTAGTTTTACTCATTTCAAGTACTAAATGTGATTTATTCGTTGGTTGTACTGGGAATGGAAGAAATTGCATTTATTCATTCACTCATTCACACTAGTTAATTTTTTTTCGCTGTCACTGTTGTATGTTATCTATTGAAGAGAATCGTATATTCGTTCATTGTGTGACGCAACAGAACGAAAGAAAAGAAATGTACAAATTTTTCGTTCTATAAATAACATGCATCAGTGACACAACAAAAAAAAGTGACTAATGTGAATGAGTGAATGAATGAAATTGACTGGCATGGCCCTCGTATAGCTCTTATATATCAACTCACATTTGCATTCGTACGCATACGATTGTAGAAATTAGGCTTAGTATGATCTACACGATATAAGTTCTTCCAACGTCAATGTCTCCAAGAAGAATTTGAATCTCGCGACAGAAAGACTCATACCGTCTTGAGAGATTACTTCATAATAGTCTTCTTGATCTTGAACATACACTCTCGACCATCGACTATATTAATTTTAAGAAATTTCGCTTTAATACAGCAACACAAATTCATAGACAGACCATGGCAACTCATAAAAGAACACTCGAAGAACAAAACCATGGTCCAATAGGCCAAGACTATGAAGAAATGAAATCAAAAGTTGTTCACAATATCTCATCATACATTCTAATACCTGTCGACGAACGAATTCTATGCCGTGGATGGGATTTTTGCATAGAAAGTAAAATAACTAAGTTTTTGGACTTTCAAACAGACGTTGAACTGAAGGCAACTAAAATCCAGCGTGAATGCCATGACTCATCTTTTCGGATCATATATCGTCGCTTTCATGATGCTTCACAGCTTCTCATTCGCACAGCTTGAAAGAAGAGACTAAGCAATCTATCAGATGAAGAAATATCAGCTTTGAAATCACTGGAAAACAAACTCGATTTCATTGTCAGCCGAGCCGACAAAGGAAACGCAATCGTAATCATGAATAAAACTAGCTACATTAACAAAACAAAACAAAGAAAATACTGAACGGACGCCCGTTTCAGATAGCAAAATCCAAAAGATGTGCTCCAAAAGAAAGAAAAAGAATACAACAAATATATAGTTTCTCTTTATAAGGATAAAATAATAGACAACAAATTTAAATTCGGAGTACAGTCATCCAGTGCTAATCTATCTGCCTTCTATGGACTGCCAAAAGTTCACAAACTAAATTACTCATTGAGACCTATCATCTCTTCCGTAGGCAGCTATCAATACGAACTTTCAAAATAGCTTGCAAAAGCTCTAAGCAATTCCCGACCTACGGCTGATTCATTCATCAAAGATTCATTTGAATTCGTAAAGCTTCTAAAAGAAACAACTCTAGATCCAAAAAACCTTATATCATATGCAGCTTCGACGTCGACAATCACTTCACGAACATTCCAGCTCGAGAAGCAATCGAAATTGCGTTGGACTGCACATACAAACCAAAAAAACGTATCGACTGTCCATTCGACTGCATTCAGATGGAAAGGCTTCTAGAACTTGCTGTGTGTGATGCTCCATTCCGATTACTCGATGACATCTACATCCAAACGGACGGAGTAGCGATGAGAAGGAAGAGCAATCAACGACACAAAGTACTCCATTCTCGTTTTTGGCTAGTCCCGTTAGGAGCATTTTTGTGACAAGGTATTTTCATTCAAATTAATCCAATTAATCAATAATCATTATTTTAGCCTCTTATATATTCGTTCAAAACTAACAAAATGTCATTCCTGATGATGTCCTTTGAAAAAGTAGCGAAAGCTTGAATCATCTATACTTTTTCTTTTTTTTT